AGTCAAATAGGCAAAAAAGAAAGATCCCAAATGTGCTAGTGCCGCCATTTCAAAGGACGTGCTGATCATATGCACAGAGCCCCACAGAGGCTTGTGTTGGTGTGGTTCATCTCCACCTTCTACTCTTCCTGCATGACTGGTCATGTGCTCTGTCTGTGGCAGGGTCCCAGAGTTCGTACGAGAAAAGCGGTTTGGAAATTGGCTGAAGGATGCACGTGACTGGGCAATCTCCAGAAATAGATACTGGGGCACCCCAATCCCACTGTGGGTCAGTGACGACTTCGAGGAGGTGAGACTGGGCAAATGGCTTTGTGTTGAGTGTCTCTGAAGTTCTTGGTCATGTTATATGAGTATGGTTTAAGGTGTGGACTCTTGCTGTCTTTCTTCATGATGGTGCAAAGTAATCTATTTAGGGGTCTAACTTTTATTTAAGTGCAGCTTTGAATTTTTATTCTGTAAAATGGGGGAAAATAATAATTTCTTTATTCCTGTGAAATCCACACATTAGATGGTGGGTGGGTGTTGCTTTGATTCACCCTATCCCCCGCTACAACACTAAATTACAGAACTAACTTCAAGTTAAACTGACCTGTTGAATGTGATGCACGTGCATACCAGCAGTGCTGAGGTCTAGTGGATTTCCTACAAGGACCTGAGAGGCAGCAGTGTAGTTACCAGGTCAGAAAACTTGTCAGGACTGAAGGAGGAGCAGAGAAAGGCCATGGGTGCCTCTAAGTAGAGTCCTTTCCCTGTCTGGAAGCACACAGCCTCTCTTGATGCTCTGATCAGAATGCTGCGTCCGTGACCTCAGCTCAGTCTTCTCACATCTGAGACTCCTTTTATCTGCTCTTTGACAGGTTGTTTGCATCGGATCTGTGGCAGAGCTTGAAGAATTATCGGGAACCAAAGTCTCAGATCTCCACAGAGAGAGGTCAGTTCCCAAACACCTGACTCAGTGCCATGCTGTAATTCACCCTGGTAAGACTGGGAATTAGAGATCTGCACCGGAAGGACACTGGCCTGTTATGGCACTGTTGCGCAGCCGTGTTGGTTTGTGTTGATGTGTCCTTCCTCCTTGTTGAAGTGTCAGATAACTATGGTACATGACCTTTCAGATTGAGGGCTCCTGGTGTTCTCAGCCTTTGGAGAGAAGTTATCACAATCTAGTAATCCTTGCTGTCATAGAACTCACTGTGTTGGCCCTGAGCTCACAGGGATCCACCTGCCTCTGCCTCCTGCCTTAGTGCTAGGATTAAAGGTGTGCGCCACCACACTAGACCTCACCTTTTTTTGCTTATGCATCACTTGTCTAGTAGGTGTGTGTTCTGAAAAGCACATCATTAGACAATTTATTATTGACCAAATATTCTGGAGTGAGCTTGCACAAACCTAGAGGGTACAGACAGGTTCTAGACTCGGGCCTGTTAGTATAGTCAAGATACTTATATATGAAATGCACATGGGTGTTGGCAGCTTAACATGGCATACAGTTTTACAGTGGGAGTAAGTATACACCCAGTACTTAAAATAAAAGCCAGACATGACTACAGTAATCAACACTCAGGTGGTAGAGGCAGATACATCAGAGTTCAGAGCCGTTCACAGCTACGTAGCTAGTTCAAGGCCAGCCTGGGTCTGTCTCAAAACTAGAAAAAAATAGAGTAATTGCCTAAACTGATTGCATAGTTGTTTATGGTCATCGTTAGCTACAGTGATCCATGCACACTTTCATGTGTTGTATCTTCTTGCTGTGTAGTAGTTTTGCTTGCTTCCCATCCTTGCCTGTACCATGTCACTAACCAAAAGAAAGTTTTCAGCTTTGTTACACCTTTATAGGACCACCATTGCACATGTAGTCCCTCGTTATCAAAATGCTATTGTGTGACACATGAGTACAGTCTTGTCAGATTGGCATTTCAGCTACAAGTTCTTCTGTATTTACAATGAATAGAGGTGGTGACTTTTCTGTTTCTCAGCATTGACCACCTGACTATCCCATCCCGCTGTGGGAAAGGAGCCTTGCGGCGTGTCTCTGAGGTGTTTGACTGTTGGTTCGAGAGTGGAAGTATGCCCTATGCCCAGGTTCATTATCCGTTTGAGAGCAAGAGAGAGTTTGAGGATGCTTTTCCTGCAGACTTCATTGCTGAAGGCATCGATCAAACCAGAGGATGGTATATCTTTTCTTTTCTTTGGATATTTCTGTTGGTTTTACTTTAAGTCTGACAATAGGTTGGGTGCAAGAAATTGGAAGGTGGTCAGAAATGTGTTCAAAAGTTAAGTCTAGCAGGGTGGTGGTGGCACATGCCTTTAGTCCTAGCACTCGGGGCAGAGGCAGGCAGATCTCTGTGAGTTCGAGGCCAGCCTAGTCTACAGAGCAAGTGCCAGGACAGGCTCCAAAGCTACACAGAGAAACCTTGTCCCCCCTCCCCCCCCAAAAAAAACCCAAATATAAATAAATAAGTTAAGTCCAGCCTGTGTATGAACATTCTGGAGAAATCCAGGTATGTGGCGGGGGGTTTGGAACTAGTTCCATTTAGCCAGTGCCCTGTTCAAATAGTGCTGTCATGCTCACTAGGGATCGTTTACCTTGTGGCCCGGGTGCTGATTCAGTGCATTCACCCTTGATGATGCCACAGGGTTGTATTAAGGAACGGCTGCTGTGGTTTCCACTGGACCTTATTGTTCTGCAATGAGCTGTTCAGACTTCAGTGACCGTTAGAGCGTCTTCCAGGAACAAATTAATGGAGGCTTTGTTGTTGTCTGATGTTTTTGTTTATTTGTCTAAATACATGTGTATGTGGTCTTCACATGGTCTGTCCCATCACATGACCTGTCCAATATGATCTTGTAGGAAGTTGTCTTTCAACCGGCATCTCTGTTGGTCCTGGGGGCTTTTGCAAGTGTTACCAATGGCTCCTCACTGCAGATTTTTGTTTTAAGGAAATTGGGTTTTGGCAATCAGATTCTAATTTGAGTTCTCTGTCATGGGTATGATACATTTGTGTTTATCACTTTATATGATTATCAAGATATATAATATAGGGCTGACCAGGTAGCCCAGTGAGTAAATATGCTTACCATCAGGTCAGATACTCTTGCAGGACCCACATGGTGGAAAGAGAAGACCAACTCCCACAAATTGTCTAACCGCCACTTACTTCATAAGTAAAAGATAAACAAAGAAATTAATTAAATTATAGAAGTATAGTGAATCAAAATTAAAAGTAGTTTAATCTAGTGAATAAATATACGTTTCCTTTTTTTATTTTTTTGAGTCAGTTTCTCTGTAGCTTTGAAGCCTGTCCTGGAACTCGTTCTGTAGACCAGGCTGGCCTCGAACTCACAGAGATCTGCCTGTCTCTGCCTCTCAAGTGCTGAGATTAAAGGTGTGCGCCACTAGTCAGACATAAATACACATTTTCCTTGCTTAGATTCCTCTCTTCCTGTTAACGAATTATCATTGTCGGTTGGTTTGTTTTCCAGGTTCTACACCCTGCTAGTGCTGGCCACAGCCCTCTTTGGACAACCACCCTTCAAGAACGTGATTGTGAACGGTCTCATCTTGGCCAGGCAGGTGCTCCCCGCTCTGTAGTGGCAAGTTTCAGCCCCGATGCTCTTATTCTAGCCTTGAAATTCATGTTCAGCACAGCCGCGTTCTGATTGGACCTCCCTACATTTTCTCTTTGAATAGCGGGATTTAGCACAGCAGCCCTGAGCTCCAGTGCCGCTCTTTCTAGTCTCAAACTTGTTTTTTTGTTTTTGAGGCAGCCCTGACTGGCTTGGAATTTAATCTTGTAGTCAAGGCTAGTCTTGAACTCACAGAGATCTACCAGTCTCTGATCTTGCCTACCTGTCTCAGACTTCTTACTCTCCAGAGGCAGAGTTACCTCAGGTTTAATGTCCTCCTGCCCTAAGCTCTCAGTTGCTGAGATTACGGGTATGTGCTATGGTTCCGTGACCTCTCCTGTGTGGGTTTCTCTGCGAGCACAAAGGAACAATCCACGTGAGGCAAGGAGGAAATGGGGGTCAACAGGCCTCAGCTAGGGGTAGCTCAGATTTTTAGAGTCTGACACAGGGCAGTTTATCTTGAAGTGCAGTACAACTGTGGAAACAAGTTTCCTGATCGTTATCTCAATTCCATGGGCACAACAAAGCTGCCATTGTGATGACGTGGAAAAGCTCTTCGCAAAGTACATGTGACCTACACCACAACGGGCTCTGTACTTAAGGGCCTACAGGAGGATCTGGTGTGACCTCATTCACACAGACAGTCTAGAGGTTATCAGCCTATAAAGTATATGTGACGTCTCCCTAAGGATGGGTTCCCTTGACTAAGAAACAAACCTAAAGAAGATAAAGGTCTAGGGAGGGAGAGTCTGGGATAAACAAAATAGTCTGGGGGATTCAGGTGTGACATGGCCCTACAGATAGCACGGATCACCAGGCTGTTAACTACATCCACTCTCAGCCTTCTGGGTGGAAAACAGGCATGCACACCCCTTCCCTTGCAGAGACAACCTTGTGTGCTTAACATTCCTGTTTTTTTAGTGTTTATCTCTGAACATAAAGGCCTCTTGCCCTCTACACTCCTGCTTAATGACACTCTTGTCTGTCTTCTCTGCTTGGTTCCACGTGTCTTAAGTAGGAAGACCACATTGTGGGCCAGGCCTCCTGGAGACAGAACAAGGCGTGACATCCAGATTGTGTTAGTTATAGCACAGCATTCTAGTGATGTCACTAGTAATGGAGGTACATTTACTTAGCTTAGTAATGTGTAAGGTACTTTAGCGTTCGTGTCTCAATCTGTTTCACTCCTGACATGTGGCATTTTCTTGTCCTCTTTGTAACATGAGGAAACTAGATGTCAGAGACCGTGTGAGTTTCAGGGTCAGAGCCACAACACCACGCCAGGCTCCTTCCAGGGCCTTCGCCTCCTATGGAGAATTACTTCTTAATTGTATTAGTAGTCTTAGATTGGTTACTAAAAATAAACAATAATTTTCCATGTATCTTTGGGACCTGTCTGCTATGGCAGTCTCCCTTCTAAGCCACAGAAGAGCTTATTCTTGTTTTAGGCTAAGCTGTCAGCATTTAGTTGGTATCAGATTCTGATTTGCACAAGTAATATTCTTTACTGTTAACTTCTGGGATGCCAAGCTAGTGAGCATGTGTCTTAAGGTTTCTCTTGTTGTGATATAAAACCATAATCAAAAATAGCTTGAGGAGAGAAGGGTTTGTTTCATCTTATACTCCATTACTGGAGGAAGCCAGGGCAGGAATTGCAGCGGAGGCCATGATGGTGTTACTGGCTTGTTTCCTATAGCTTCCTCCACCTGTGTTCTTATACTACCCAGGACCACCAGCACAGGGGTGGCCCCTCCCACTGTGAGCTGAGCCCTTGCACATCAGTCATTAATCAAGAAAATGCTGCATGGGCTTGCTTATAGGCCATTCAATGGAGGCACTTTCAATATTGGTTTCTTCCTAGATAATTCTAGTTTGTGTCAAGTTAACAAAAAAACAGCAATGATAGTGTGGTTTTCTAAACTATTATTAAAATGTTTGTACATACAATAAACAAACATTTTGAGTGAAAGAGAATATTTGCCCACAAATACACCCTGCTTCATATGCTGCATGAAGAGGAAGAGAGCAATACCAGTTATTACATGCTTCCTTAGCCAGGCCTCTATGTACCTTGCACATTACTCCTCAGAGTGATGTGATGTAGGCTCTGGAATCGTGCCCTTTGGTAATGGTGGAATAGTGGTGGAATAGAGAAAATACCTTCCTGAAGATACACAGCAAATGAGTTGGTAAATTCCCATTCTGAACATAGGCATCAAGCTCTATAAACTCTGCTCTTTTCTCTCTCTCTTTTTCCATTTAGTTCTTGTTGGTACTGAGATAGCTCTGAGCTGCACCCCCATTCCTGCCTTTTAGTGGTTTCCTTGGCTGCTGAGATGGCTCAGCAGGCACAACACTGCTATGCAAGCCTGGTGACCTAAGGACATTCCCAGGAACCAGTGTTAAGGTGGAAGGAGAAAGCAACTTATCCAGTTGTTCTCTGACCTCCACGCGTACACCATGGCACACACACACCTGCACACACACATCCAAGCATGCTACTTTCTCACCAGTACAGCTATGACATTAAATGGTTTCACTACCATAGGACCTTGTTCCCTCACTTACCTGTCCATCCCTGTTCCCAATTTCTCTGGAATAAATAAACGCTAAAACATCTTTCTGCTCCATTCTGCCTTGAAACTTCCATAAAGACTTACTACGGTATTTAGAAAGACATTCCATGGCCCCACAGGTAGAGACATTTTCTAAGCAAACTTGACTGACTCAGATCCCTGGAACTCACATAAAGATGGAAGGAGAGGCCCATGCCTCACACACATAACATCAAAGACATATACATACACAGTACCAAAAATAAATTTAATATAAAAGAACAAAAGCCTGGAGGTGATGGTGCACACCTTCAGTCTCAGCACTCAGGAGCAGATGCAGGTGAACCTCTGAGTGTGAGGCCAGCCTGGTCTACAGAGTTCTAGAACAGCCAGGGCTGCACAGAGAAACTCTGTCTCAAAAAGAACCAAAAGAAAAAAGAAAAACCTAAAAATAGAAACAAAAACACTGTGCCATTGTGACTTAGACTAGCTTATATCTGTCACTTCTTTCGATTTGCATTTGTGTGCTTGCATGCAGTCTACATCCATATATATATAAAGACCAGCTGTATTTACTTATTTAATTGGTATCTACTTTATGTTTTACAAGTGATGGCCAAAAAATGAGCAAACGGAAAAAGAACTACCCAGATCCAGTTTCCATCATCAATAAGTATGGTGCTGATGCCCTCAGGTAGGAAGCGGCTCTCTGCTCATGTATGTCTCCTGTCCGGAGTCACCGTTCTCAGGTTGCTAGATAATTATGCTTTAAGAGTTGATTCTCTGTATGGGAAGTTAGATTTTTATAGTTCTTGATGTCTTAGGACTAGAAACTGTCCTGGATACCATAAGCTGTCCATGGCCACCCAGGTGGTGCATGTTGTTTCTACCTCAGCTTCTTTCTAGCTTCCCTGTCTTGTTGGTATTAGAATTAGCTCCCCACAACACCCCTGCTTCTTTCTTTTTTTTTTTTTTTTTTGGTTTTGCATTTACAAAACTGTATTTACACCAGAACAAATAGTTTAGCATCTAACAGGTTTAAGAGAACCTTTAGCTACTGTTTGAATCAGTCATGCTCCTGAAATCTATCATGTTTAGGTTGCAAAGGCCTAGAGAACTTGTTCAGTAGCTCCATGCCACCGGTGACACCCACTCCTGTAGCCTAGAAACAGAGAGGCTGGCCTTCCACTCATTCATCTTTCAAATTTGTATTCGTCCCATTCTCCACCATGAGGGTTTTCCGCCAAGTGTAGCAGTGCTCCTCATGATCCTGTGCGTACCTGGGTGGGGGTGCGAGTGTGTTGAGCGCTGTCCTCTTCTGTAGGAGAGTGGATTTGAGCTGACCTTCTTAGTCCTTAGTAAAACGAGAAAGACTTCTGTGATTGGAGGAGGGACAAGAATGCTCGCCTTCTCGGGGTTGCAGTAGTAATGCTTGGCTTACCATTCTACGTAACTTTTCTTTGTAAATTTTCTGCTTCTTCCAGGTTATATCTGATCAATTCCCCTGTAGTACGAGCAGAGAACCTCCGCTTTAAGGAGGAAGGTGTGCGGGATGTCCTCAAGGATGTGCTGCTCCCGTGGTACAACGCATACCGCTTTCTCGTCCAGAATGTCTTTAGGCTTCACAAGGTATGGGCCACATTGGGCTGTGCATGCTGAGCTATGAGGTGGGACTCTGGGGGACCTTGAGGCCACTTTCTTCTGTTTTCTGCTGTTGGATAACCCAGAACCATGAGGAAACCTTACGTGATGATGCAAGAGATGACTGGTCCTCTGTAGGACATGGCCTCCTCTGTATAAAAAGGTGTGTCATAGTTTGGTCAGCCAGTCCTTTGTTCTAGAGATTTCATCTTGAGTGAGGTTCTCTTCCGTTCCTGGAATTCGAGACAGTGTAAGAGTCAGCTACTGACAGAGTTACCTGGTGAAGGACTGGGCCAGACCCTGTTTCCTGAGAGAGTGGTCAGAGAAGACTTGTAAGGGGAAGCCTTGGAGTGACAGCAGCTCGGAATGGGTTGCTAGAATTAAAAATAGTAGTTGGGCCATGCAGTGGTGGCCTTTAACCCCAGCACCCTGGAGGCAGAGGCAGGCAGATCTCTGTGAGTTTGAGGCCAGCCTGGTCTATAGCGTGAGTTCCAGGACAGCCTGGGCTATACAGAGAAATTCTGTCTCTGGCTGGGTGTGGGGTGTATGTGAGCCTGTGCTTCCGATTGGTATGCTCATCATCTCTGCTCTCAGGATGCCCATTCTGAGAAGCCCTTTGTCTGCAGCCACCTCCTCAGACTCCAGCCTGACTACTGTCAGTGCCCAGCATCTTTATCCCTAGTATGTGTTTTTATGTGGTGTGCCTGTTTATGGTGGGGCTCCTGCTGTGCTCAGCTTCTTACTCCAGAACTGCTGGTAATTTACCACCGAGTGGGTACAATGTAACCCTTGAGCAGACAGAAACTAGCAAGTAAGACAGTGGTCCATTCACTTGCTTCTGCTGCCTCTGGATCCAACTTAGCTCTTCTACTGAAAACAAAACAGAAGTAGTACTCACGAAGGACTTCCAGGGCACACTTTCCCTGGAAATTTAGAAAGACAGGCAACTTCTCTAGGCATTTAGCATGCCTCTCTTTGTAATTTTGCTAGCTAGGGTGCCAGGTAGGGTGCCATGTAAGCATTCTTGAAGCTTACATGATTTGCAGATCTCTGTTGGTGTGGAACTCACACCTGCCCTCAGAGAGGCCCATCTGTACATAGCAAGGCTGCACCCACTGTGAGGTGCACAAACCAGGCCAATAGTCCTCACCACATCTACTGACAAGCTGCTGTCTGAGAAGCACAGCTGCAGTGAGTTCAGTGTGCAGAGCAGGAGCAGGTGAGATGCTTTCAGGGTCAGGGAGGGCTCTCGCAAAGCAGATATAAGGGGTTCTGGCTGAGATATGAGGGGTTCCAGCTGAGATTTGAGGGGTTCCTGCCTGACATATGAGGGGTTTCAGGTTTCCTGGCACTGTTCCAGTGTGTAAGGGATCATCTAGTTCTAGACGTTCACAGTTTCCTGAGTTACCTGACAGTAACTCCAACCCTAAGTCTTCTAATCTTACTTAAAATCAGAGTTCATTGGGGATTTGATGGTGCTCATCCTGATATTTCTGAATGTCAAATTCCAGCTTGCTAGCAGCATCTGAGGTCATTTTGCATTTTTGTTACTTCCTTTCATTTTACTGATGGAAAGCATTTGGTAGGCCTAGAGAGATGGCGCAAAGGATAAAAATACTTGTTTTCCAGAGGACCTGAATTTGGTTTCCAGCACCCATATTATGTGGCTCACGTTCACATATAACTCCAGCTCCAGGGGATCCAATGCCTTTTTCTGACATCCATAGACACTGGCACACAGGTGCACACAGGCTCATGCACATTTGCAAACACACACACATTTTATTGAAAATCAAAGTTATTTTTCTCTGGTATTAGTTCCTTCTTTGTGCATGTGAATATCTCATTGCTTGTCTGTCTGCAGGAAGATGGAGTGGAATTCTTGTACAATGAGCACACAGTCAGAGAAAGCCCTAACATCACTGACCGGTGGATTCTGTCCTTCATGCAGTCTCTCATTGGGTTCTTTGAGACCGAAATGGCAGGTGAGTCTTCTTATGCTGTCTTCCTGGGGGCGAGGACCATTTACTCTCCTTTTAATTATCCTTTTGGTATTTTAACTTTTCACTTATTAACATGGAGGACATTTTGAGAGATAGCACAGATAATTTCTTTTTCAATAATTCTGAAGTCTAGTTTTAGTGAGGCCCATTAGTTGTAAACGAGTTTATTTCAGGGCTCTGGGAAATATAGTCTGAGGAGTACAGACTTCTGGTGCAGATTATCAGCCGTCTGGGAACCCTACCATCTTTCAACACTAGATGCCATGGCTTCCCATGCAGCTGAATCTGCAGATAGTAAGTACAC